ATGCGTGCTGAATTTCATATGATTCCATTTCGCGATCGACCTAATCCGAACTGAACAGCTCACACTCTGCTCTCTCTCTCATTTTGAAAAGAAAAATTTTTCTTAATTTTTTAAATTTTTCTTAAAATTGTTTAAAATTTCTTTAATCCTAGTACTATATAAGCAATTTTTTATTGCTTAGTATATGAAGCGAAATTATATATTTAAATAAATATGTATTATAATTATATAATTTTATGTGTGTGTCATCCTATTAACAAAATCAATATAAGTATATGAAATTATGACTAAAAATATTACAATAAACTTAGAGTTTAAAGTCAAATCATTAATTTTATAGACTTATTTTATTATTATTCCAATGAACGGCTGATATACGCGATCGGTTTTTCATGATTCATTACCAGTTGGTTCCACGGACACCGTGCTCCCTTCTTTGAATTCCTATTAATTCAGCGATATTAATCAAAGAGCGACTTCTCTCTCGTTATAGCGTGCTTCATTGTTTTCGGTACCTCCCTACCCCCCAATTCAATATCGACATACCCTGTGACGCAATTCGTTCATTTGCCACCACTACACGCAGTCAACGCGCGCGCGCGCGCATGTGCTCTCGCGTATGTGCATTCACGAGCGATATATGCAGCTTGTGAAAACTGCGAGGGATACGCTGACACAAGGAATAAGGATCACAAAGGCTGACATCGTCATCGTTGTCGTTGCGATCGAGCGAAAGCAGGTGCCGACTTCGAAAGAGCCGAAAAGAGTTCGACGTGCTTGTCGACGGGGGATCTTCAATCACCGTCAATGGTAGCGCGTATAGAACACACACATCGGCCACGTATTTTCCCTGCTCCTCTCTTCCGCTACTCTTCCATTTTTTTATTGTTGTCTTTGCGACCCTTCGCGTTGCGTGGAATCGCGCGAAGAGACCTCGAGAAAAAAAACAAGAGGCTTGAAAAATAAAAAAATAACGAAAGCTTGTAAACGGAATACTATTGGCTGCGTTTCGTTATTCATCGCAAGTACTGAAAATCTATAGTATACGTAACGTGAACTATAGGTTTTTAGTATTTACAGTGAATAACGGAACGCAATCTATGAAGAATATACAGCAATAAAATATAGCTGTCGCAAGTCAATCTGTCCATCATACAACACAGGACTTAAAAAATCTAATATCAAAGTGTCCAATATTTAAAAAAGCAAGCAATAACGACAGAAAGATAATCTTATGCAGGGTATCTGAGTCTTAATAGTAATAAATAGAAAAAACGAAAAATGTAGGTGCAATCGGTTTGATTTTTTTAGCGAATGCATCTTTTTTCGATTCCTGTAGAATTTGGCAAATCAAATTTTTATTTTCCGTTTAATTTTTGTTATATCTGCTCCAATAGCTTTCTCTTTGAGCATCTTTTTTTGCATTCCTTTTTTTTTTTTATCAGAGTCCAAACACTCATATTTCTTCAATTCACTTTAAAATTCAGAAAATTAAATTATTATATCCTGCTTTACTTTCTTATTATTATTAAATAGGTATTTTTCTATTAGAGATTGTTATGTCTGGCAACTATACTGGGTAACTGAATGTCTATATTGATGAAACTTTTATTTCTATTATGATTTATTGACGTGTTTATTATTTCCCTTTGATATTTATCGCTTAAATTTGATTAGAAACACATGACAAGCAGCAACTTTTGCCGCTAAACTAACTCTAACAACTAAAACATTAAGAATCATCAAGAAACTTTCAGCAACAATCGGCAATTTTTTAAGAAACATAGAACATTAACAAAAACGTTTCTCGTTGTTGCTTCGATAGGGACATAGCTTTACATTGCTGTGCAAAATTACAGTGTGCGAATATTCTGTCGTTAAATAGAAATTATTTTGAACTGGCCATGCACGAAACGTCTATGTTTCTTCCCTCGCGAATCCTGAGAACTCGAGTTCGAGGAAGACATCAGCTTGGCCACGTTCCCAGGGCACCGCGGGGGCCTCCCGCTATTTTCTTAAGCCAGCATCGTGCAAACTGACTGAACAAACGGACGGCCCGCAGTGTGTGTCTATACACGCGAAAGTACGCACGAGTCGCCACCGCCTTCTCTCGTAACCGCATAAGAACCGCGAGAAAGTTACCCTCATAGACGCACGGATCGACGTCTACCACCACGGGGCCCCTGTGTGACCCCCAGCGTCTTTTCTTAGCGTTTACCCTACCCTCCTCTGCCATCATCTCTCTCCCTCTTTGTTCTCGCTCCTTTTGCAATTCATTTTTTAACGTCCCCGTGCACCTCTGTCTTTTCCGTCGCATTCTCTTCAGGTGCTCCGAAATTATTATCGTTTCTCATGACTGCTAGAATCTTTGTTCCTCGTGGATCAGTCGAGATCATTCACGGTGAATGACTTCTTTTCTGAGAACTAATATTACATCCCGAACAGGTTGTCGGTGTAAGATAGAAAGTGTCTGTCAAAAGAATACTATAATAAAATATATATATATATCTCAGATAATTTATTTGAACAACAATAAATAACACTAGATCGATATATAAATACAATTAAATAGGGAAATATCTTTCGGTGTAAGCTATGTCTTAGTACTTAATCATATATTTTATTATATATAAATTTATATATACTCGTATATATATCTATCCAGTTCTACAAACTGAATAATTTATTTGTTTTATTTATTATTTTCTTGTTTTAAATGTTATGCTTAACGAAAAAATCAATTTATCTTATTTTATCATTCGAAATGATTGTTTCGGTGAAAATGATAGCATTTTGGACGAAACTAAAGAGAATTGCAGAACTGCCGATCGATATTTTGATATGTATTATGTTCCCGCTAAATTGTGTAAGATAATCTCTTCTCTATCAACATTGCTAAAGCGCGTGGAACAAATTATACGATTACCAAGAGAACTCATAAAATATCCAGTTAGTACAAGAGGCTTATCTATTTATACAATGCAATTGAGTGGTGAAAAAATTAAGAAGATAAATTTTTCATTTCGATATCGCGTGCAAGTTAAGAGATTATTTAGGATTTTCCTTGCGGAAAAGATTGAATAGTGAAAAGATTGATATAGTGAACAATTTAATGACTTCAACATAAATTTTAATAGAACATTTTACAAGCTTTTTATAGATCAGTTTATAAATTAAAAAATTATCGATTTTTTTTCAACTTTTTATCGAAGAATGTTCTTCAAACCAGTTAGGAGAAAATTGTCTTCAAAATATTATGAAAAGAGAATTGAAACACTTTAGAGTCTAGATAGATTAGAAGGGGTAATCTCATTTGTTAAGAGTGTTAAAAATTAGGATAAAGATTTGCAGTAATCATGCAAAATCCAAATCATCACGCAAAAACGAAGCATTTCGCGAAAAAATAGGAGAAGGGAGGAAGAGAAACGGATAGAGGAAAAAAGGAACGGCACGGTGCAACTTCCCGAAAAATTAATATCCCACGGGAAGAAGGGTGCACCGGCTGTTTGGCTCTCGGGGACGCTTCTGTGCTCGGCGGGATACAGAGGAGCGAGAAAATGACGGATGGCGATGGTGCGGGGAGCAGCGAATGGAAAACCGGGAGAAACTTTGTTTTCCAAAGCGATTCCCTCGCGCTTCCGGCAGGGAACGATAGAGAAGGCCAAAGGAGCGCGCAAAGGGATTAGACGCATCTCGCGAGCCAAGTTTCCCTGCGAAGAAACTCGTTTATGTAAAGATTGCCTCGATCTGGGGAGCCGATCGGCTCGGTGGGATTTAATTGGGCTTGACCGCTTGACCGGATTAATTAATCAGCCGATTACGTTTATCGAAGTCTCGGCCTCTCGGTGAGGACGTTCATGGTTCTTCGGGCTATTTACTCCGGCTACGCTGGAGGGTATTTCCCTTTGTTCGCCGTCGGATGGTAGCTCAACTAAATTCTTAAGGGCGGTTTGTGTTGCCGGTGGACCTTAATTAAAAGTTCCCGCCAACTTGGTCCGCATAATTACGTTCGATATGGAGTAGCTCGTAGCACAGCTGGCGCAAGTTGAAGTTGCGATTTTCATTGTTTCCAAGATGCTTCGCCAATTACTTTATATATAGTCTTTTACATGATTTACTTTGCACCACCAAGAAATCATAATTTTTATTTTATATATTCATCTTATACGTTTTTAATGAATTCAACGCTTAAATCATCTATAAAATATCCTATATGATTTTGTTGTAGTTGCACAAAGGAAAAGGAATTTCGCAAATTCGCACACGGAGAGAACGATTTTGCTGAAAAATCTAAAAATTTAACTAGACACAGATCTGAAAATAATTTTGTTACACGCATTAAAATTTGTAGATTTTTCAGCAAAATATCGTTCTCTCCGTGCAAGATCGTAGAATTACATATATCTCCAATTCTAAACAAAGTCGTAACCCAAAATGTATGAATATTTCACGGAGATTTTCGTATTCCCTCAAAATTGTGGGCCACTGGCAAAGAACATCCAAGACGCCGGTCGTCATAGTAAAGAGGGCAGAAGAGGAAGAGTTAGAGTGCCGAGGAAAGAGGAGGTCCGTGTGGGTTGGAACGCTGGTTGTAGAATTTTGGGAGAATTCTGAGGGATTGGTTGCGTCGGAGTGAACTTATGAAACGCCCAACCCTGTTACCGGTTGCGCCAAGCGAGATATTAAATTTCTGGAATTTTGCGGTTAGGCACGTCTACATGCCGACGGGTCTCTCTCTCTCTGTTTTTCTCTCTCCTCTTCCTCTCTCTCTCTCCCTCTCGCTTCTTTCTCTTTATCTCGCTAATACGTCCACAATTACATGCTGAAGAAACTCGTTCAATTATAATTTTGCTGTGAAAAAATCGTTTGTATTAAAATAACTTTCACACGAGAAGAATTCCCGTGGAATTATTAATTATCGATCATTCAGTATCATTATTTCTGATACCTTGCTTTCTTTAATTTTTTAAATGACGTGTAATTTAAGCATGGTAAAAAAATTTTGTTACCATCAATTTTATTGCGTCAACAGCTTAGCCTAATGTTGTCAGTACACACTAATCTATGCAACATGTACAATGCAATTTACAAGGGTCATAGTTTCGTCACATCGTAGTATCGGGTTGTATATGATTCACTGGAAGGTAAGGAGGAATCTGGAGTCCGTTGCCGGTGCCTGATAGTTCGCTGTGTAGGCGGTATAGGTGGTACTCAAAGGATTGGCCAGAGGCACCACGCGCGAGGGATTGTCGTACTGGTATTGCACTTGCGCGGCCACGGGCTCAATCTCGAGTTTCTGTGGCTTGGCATCTGAGGATGCGACCGCGGCGACTGGGGTGACCGGGGCAACGGACAATTGCACACCAGCCGGCACAATCTGCAACTTCTGCAAAGGTGCGTACATGTAAATCGGACCACGAAGAGGCTCCACGTTCTCGGCGCGAATTTTGGCGAAGTACTTCATGGCCTCGACATTCTGACGGCTGATATACCGCACGCGCTGAAGGCGACCGTCGGGAAGTGCCACGTAGTATTCTCCTGATTGCTGAGGTTGCTTCTCATCAACATCCTCGTCTTCGAGCTCGTTTACTGAATTCACGGGCTCGGACTGAAATAATAACGTTGGAATTTATTTTGTCATCAATTGCTGTTACTGGTGACTTGTATATTGAAAGAGGGAGTAAGTTGTAGATATTTATATTATCGAATATACTGTTAAAACGTTTTGTTACGAGATGAATACGCAACATAAAAATCTTTTTTTGTAAAATCAAGTATTATAGTTGTAATGAGATATTTTCTTAGTAAAATGTTCTAAAAACTTTTTATAATATCAATTATGTTTAAGAAATTATCGCATATTATTATCTAACACGAATCTCACAGAGAGATTATTTACTGAATAAAACTATAGAAACTATATATATATGTGTGTTATATAAAGCGAATAATTTTTCGTTTCTCAGTAAAACATTTTTCGGCAAGAGAAAATTTTTCTGTTTTTTTTTTCCGATATCCTGCCAAACAAGACGTAGTAGACTCTTAGACGACCTCGAATCACGAGTGAATGCATTATGGGTTGTGTCACGCCAGTCTTCGAATTTGGTACGGACACACACGTGCACGAGACCCGCGATCGAAAGTAAACGACGCCTCGAATACTAATGTTGAGCGGGAGAAACGATGAGAACAAGCAAGCGCCGAAGATTGAAAAAGAGGAGTCTCAGTGTGCGATTTAAATTCCGCGGAATTTCGCTCTTGTGTAGGTTCACATGCCAACTCAATGGTCCAGCGCATTTTCTCTCTCGAGCAAGACGACAAATCTATGTTACGTAATGTTATTTAAAATCGAAAAATGCGCACATTGGATAAAATTTATTCCAAAATTAAATGAAATTGAAGTTGAAATTTTCGGCGACTACAAGTTTTCCAATAAATTTTAGTTGACGTTGAGATCGCGATTAATCAATTTATCCCCTATAAATAGGAAGATATAAAAATTTTCTTCATAAATCCCATTTGCACACATTTAGTGTGTAAAATAGTAAGCTAATTTCCAATCAATAAGATATTTTATATTTATCAAATTTGCAATATATACTAATTTCATGGATTTAAAGTTTTTTATAAAAAAAAATTTAACTACAATTACTTTTCTTTACCTTGATTTTTTCATATCAAATATTTCAATAATTTTAATAAAAAAAAAGATTCGTGTTTTACTTACCTCAGATTCAGTGATGCCTTGAACAGTAGATACTTCTTCTTCTTCGGTGGTGTTAGGAGTCTCAGTCGTTGTCGACTCTTCCGGTTCTTCATATTCTTGTTGAGGACTTGATGGTGCTCCGTATTGTTGACGAGGTGTGTTTGGCGCTCCATATTGTTGCTGAGGCGTGCTTGGTGCTCCATATTGTTGCTGAGGCACGCTTGATGCTCCATATTGTTGCTGAGGCACGCTTGATGCTCCATATTGTTGCTGAGGCACGCTTGGTGTTCCATATTGTTGTTGAGGTGCATTTGGTGTTCCATATTGTTGCTGGGGTGCGCTTGGTGTTCCATATTGTTGCTGGGGTGTATTTGGCGCTCCGTACTGTTGTTGAGGCGCGTTTGATGCTTCATTTGTCTGACGTTGTCTTTGAGGAAGATCAAAAGCGGGTCCCGCTGGTTTCCAGCCAGACGCGAGATAAGGAGCGGCCTCTTCCTGCTGCTGAGCGAAGTAATACTGTCTCTGTTGCTGACGGTACCTCGGTGGCTCAGCGAGGACCACGGTAGCCAAGAGGACGATGCTGACGAAAACCTATTTTTCGAAGATTAATTAATTAAATATTATTATAATTACGTTAATTTGAGCATTATTCGCCAAAAAATCGATCGAGGAATCTTTTCACGCTATCAGAAACTGCTCTAAGAGTTGAATAAAAAATTAAATAATAAATTTATGACTACCTTCATCGTTGTACGATGTTAGCCGGTTATGTTGACGAGTTGACTGAATTCGCCGTCCGCCGCCGGTGGATTATATACACGACGTCTCGTATGCGTTCTGCATGTCTAAGGAGGATTATACCCTATGGCCAGGGTAGCAACGCGTTCACCGATCGGCGGGTGACATTGGCCTCTTAAAAGAAGCTGATGAATCCTCGATCATTGTTGGCTCATCATCCGGCCGCTCGCGCGCGTTCACCTTCGCCTTTGTCGGCGAGCGGACGCCTTTTCAACAAAAGCGGCACTCTTTAATACTCGATGTACGACCGACTTTTTCGTCCCCCTCAACTTCAAACTCCACCTTTCGCCCTTTTTCGCACGTTGTGTTTGTTCCGGGCGCACGAAGCGAAAGAAATCGCGCTTCTGTCCTATCGACGATTAAATTTAAAATGGATTGAACGCATGTTTGCATTCGCTACACCAGAGATTCATCACTTTTGCCGCGAAACGGTGAATGCGCAAACTCGTTCGTTCAAAGTATATTTTTATAATGTTTACTGAACTTCTTTAGGTTCTTTAGGTTATAGTAAATTATTATGAAATTAAATTATATAAATATGCCATTTAAGAGAAGCGTAAGTTACAGCATTTTTAAAACGAAATAAAGTTAAGCTTTCATTAAAAACAGCCTCATCGAAATGAATTAAAAAATAAAATTTTTTTTTTATTATTCATATCAAGTTATTATTATAGTATCTGAACATTGACATTTTTATTCAAATACACTCATTAAAATTTATAAAATGAGCGTAAATTTGCACGGAATACGTCCATTGCCAAAATGTTTTGTATAGAATTTCTGTTTTTAAATTTTAAGAAAAGTCTGATAAAAGTCTTCGACTTATCTAATCCATCATCAATGTTCTCATCCGCCCGTGACCGATGATCGAGTGCTTAACACATTTCACGGAGCAAGGCCGTGTTATGCGACGATTACGTCGTCGTAATTTTAACTCCGGCTCATCATGCACAGCATGCGTGTCGTACGTGTCGACCATTCCACGCACGGATTTCGCCGACGAGTCACAGCGACGCGACGCGTGACGATGATTCGTGCTAATCAATTCACTGGCGTACCCAATCTGACCAGCATCCGAGAAATAAGGAACGTGGAGTGTTCCTATGCATTCACGCTCGGGACGATTGGAATGATCAGGGTCGTACGGTCGTCCGATCGATCGATCGCGACAATAGTTTGGAATTTATAATGATCGGTACCTTTCGTCTCACCTCGACGCGTACGTGCATAAAACGAGCTCTCATATCGGTGTCACATTGTTTATTCTAATCGAAACTATGTCGATTTTTTGACAAACCAAATCCAATAAACTAGCGTTTGGTAGCACATTCTGAAGATTCGTTGTGATCCAAGATAACAATCAGCTTTATAATTTTATGCACACTCAGAGAAAAATATAGTAGCACTTAAGATCTAGATTGACCGTTAAAAACTTTAGGACCTTAACACACAAAAAAATTTAAACAGTAAAACGTAAGGAAATTAACATGTTGGATTGATTACTATACTGTTTACGTTATAGCTTTACGATCTCTTCTGTGATTGGCCAATTCGCTTACTGCTTACGTTTTACTGCTTAAGTTTTTTGTGTGCCTTATTCGATACTTGTTGTGTAATCACATTTACATGCGAAAAATTCCCTGTTCAATGTTGTTAAAAATATAGTAGTAGCAATTTACAGTTCTAATCCTGATTCACTCCGGAGTGAACTGGATTTAGGAAATGTTTACACTCTCTCTGAATTGATTTTACTCTTAATAAGAATGAAATGAAAGTAAGATATCTGAATACTCTTACATATACCATATATAACCCAAAAAAAATATTCTGCCGATAAGCGGGGAATTCCTCTTAGCATTTCCTCTAAGCAAAAAATCTTACATTAATCTTACATTAATCAGGTGTGTGTATTTATAATATGTATTCATCTATAAAAATGAGGACATATGAGCTATGATCAAAAATAAATTCTTCTATAGAAAATTCTATTATAATAACTCGAATAGCCTTTTGAAATAAAAGGATACACAAAATACTAGCGGCACGCTTACTTATTAAAAGAGGTTTGTCATTAAGCCTGTTCTTTTTGGCTGAACTTTTGCACCAGTTCGTCTTTCTTCCTCTTCTTTCCTCCTGGAGAAAAAAAGAAGAAAGATGAACTAGTGCAAAAGTTCAGCCAAGAAGAACAGGCCTATTTACGTGCTATAGTAGTACACGTGCATGTCACTACATGTAAGACATTCTTCTAGTATTGATAGGATCGCAATCCTAAATCCAGTACTTTAGAGTTATACGAAATTTCTTTATTTTGTAGAGTATCCTCTTGAGGTATATAAATGGAA